GACAGCTGCAGAGAAATGTCAGGTAGAGAAATAGAGAGAGCAAGACAGCAGAAGGTTATCAGGAAAAGAACTAGACGACCTTTAAAGCCCTTCCCAAGCCAAACCATTCCATGATTCTAGATGATGTGTGGATGTGTATATGAACTAGATATTACTAGTAATATTATTATCATTATAATAATTTTATTTATTCACTATCCTACTATTTAATCTTCTTATTATTATTCGTAGACTTCTTATTACTATTTACTACTACTACTACTACTACAGTTTCTTCTTACATTTCTTACTCTTCTAATTCTTCTTATTCTACTTACTCTTCTAATTCGTCTTATTCTTCCTACACTTATTCTTCTTACTCTACTTACTCTTCTAATTTGTCTTATTCTTCTTATTCTCTTTTTTCTTCATATCTTTCTAATCCTTATATTCCTTGACTTATTATTCTTATTATTTCCTAGTACTACAACGTCTTCTACTTACTCTTCTTACTCTTCTTATTTATCTTATCTTTCTTAACCTTCTTATTCTTCTTATTCCTAGACTTATTATGAACTACTAAAACAATTTCTTCCGCTTCTTATTCATCTTACTCATCTAACTCTTCTTAATCTTCTTATTTTTCTTAGTTTTTCTTACTGCTACTACTGTTTCTTCTTCTTCTTAATTGTCTTCTTCTTCTTCTTCCCATTTTTATTCTTATTTCTTCTTTACTACTGCCATTTCTTTGTCTTCATCTGATTGTTATTGAAGTCATAAAGCCTCAGGATGGTGGGTGGGCTGCAGGCCAGCTGCCATCTGCAGGGCCTGCGCTGGTCCCCGCAGCGGGCACTAATCCTCCAGCTGTGGTGCCAGGCAGGGCCAGCAGCACAGTCTGCGCAGCGCCCGCAGTGCCCCCCTCATGCGTGAGGGATGTTTCTTGCGGGGGCCCGGCTGGCACTCACCCCAGGCCTCCCGAGGCGTGGGCACTGGCAGCTCTTCTCCTGAAAAGCCTCCCTGTGGTTGCTCGCTGGATTCTTCAAGGAGCTCCAGGAGGTTCACTCCATCCCACTCGTCGTCCTGGGGTAGCAGGGACTTGACCTTGATGCTGTGCACGCTCATCATTTGCCCGTTGTCCTGCTTGAGATCTTTTACACGGTAATCTTCCCAGCCTGACTGTGTGGAGGGTCGATTACCGTACTCTTTGGGCATCTTCTGGCTGCTGAAGTCTTCCTCTTTGGAGAACTCTTCTTCAAGGGACTCTTCCCAGTCCGACTCTTCCAGGTAACTACCAAATCCTTCGTGAGACACCTCTTGCTCTCTGTATTCTTCCCACTCAGAGTGTGCTGGGGACCTAACAACTTCACGGAGGGAAAGCCCTTGCTCCTGACATTCTTCCCAGTCAGAAAATTCATTGACACTCTGGGCTTCTCCTATGGATGGCTCTTGCTCATTGAAATCATCCCAGTCAGAGAGCTCATGATTTCTACTGGCTTCCACTTGGGACAGGTCTTGCTCACTACAGGCTTCCCCCAGGGACATGTCCTCGTAGCTACTGGAGTCTCCTTGGAGCAGCTCTGGCACTTTCTCATCTTTACACCAGGAAAGCTTAAGCTCAGCAGCCAATACTGCCTCCTCACCCTCTTGCTCAGCCCAGACCCACCCCCTCTCTGCCTCCTCCTCCTCCAGCTGCTTACTGAGGGCCAGGGATTGCACTGGGCTGGATAACAGGCTGGGGGAGCAGCTTGGACTGTGTGGAGCAGAGATTAGGACCAATTGCCTTTCTACTAGAGCTGCTGCATCTTCTTCTGCAGCCATGCTTTGCTCCAGCTCCCTTTCTTCTTGTGTCTGCTGACCAAGTTCCTGCATCTCCAGGCAAACCAGACTCATGGTCTCAGAGCTGATGTGCTCTCCTAAGTCTAGCTGAGCTTGGTTGCTTCCTATGGGGCTGTATGTGGCATGGACTGACCTGTCTGTCTGTGCTGGTGGAATGTTCTCGCCTAGGCCAGGAGACGCTGCTGCCTTTTCCACTGCAGGAGGCAGAGGCTTGGTGGGCTCCTCCTCCCCAGCAGTAGCAGCTGAGGCAGCAGCAGCTGTTGTCTCAGTGTCCAAGGGACTCCTCGGGGCAGGAGAAGTGCTGCGCAGGTCATGTGCTGCCTCTCCCGTCTCCTGGCTTCCCACACTGCTGGCAGAGCTGGTCTCCAGCTGAGTACCAGTGTGGCCATCCTTGTCTCGCTCTTGGGATACCTCTGCCTCTGTCTCATCTTCTCTTTTGAACAGTGTGGATGGCCTTGCACGTCTCCTTCCAAAGGTGACACTTGCTGGTATCCCTCAGCTTCCCACAGGCAGAGCTCTTGGCCACTAAGAGCTCCGCATTGGGAAAGCTCTTGCTCCGCCTCGTCTTGCCTCTCTGTGTCCATGTTGACCAAGGCTGGGCCCCTCCTCCTTCTCAGTCTCCAAGAGCGGCAGGACTGAGCTACCCCCTTGCCCCCAACCAGTGCCCACTCAGGGCCGGCTTTTCAGCCAGCTGGGCAAGGGGCTGGCTGCCTCGGAGTTGGGCTTCACCTTATCTCGCTGTGTCTTGGACGTATCCTAGTGCCAGATCCCGGGAGCTGCTGCCTTGTGACACGGTGGCTCTCACGGGACTGGCCACTGCAAGGTTCTACAGCCCCTGTACACCCCTGCAGGGCGTGGCTCAGCCGTGTCACAAGGCTCTCTGGGCACCGCAAGGTTCCACATCGCCAAGGGCCCTGACACATCACGCCTGTGTTGCCAAGGGCCACACCCACAGCCCTTCAACGGCCAAAGCCGCCACAAGTGTCATGGAGCAGCCCCTGGGCTTGTGGCCTTCTAGCCCCTTCTTATCATCTGCTTATTAAAATGATCCAAAATGCCTCTGCCCAAATTAAGGTGCAAACCACATCACACTCCCAAGCCAGTAGGATGGGTTTTAATGAACACTAAATGAGAGAGAAAGACAAAGAGAAAAAGAGTAACAGAGACAGATTAAGTAGAAAACCTCACTGCTCTGTGGATGCCAGTAGAGTCCCCTTGATGCTGTCCATCAGGTCTTCTTGGTGCTGAGGGTGCCCCAAAAACCTGCAGTTCAGTGGACTAATACACATTTGGGCCAGGTGGGAATGCCCAAGTACCTCCCATGGCAGGGGCCAAGTTTGACAGTCTCCTGCAACAGACTCTGGATCTCTTGCATCTCCTTGTATCATGTGCAAAGAAATGTGAGGTGCAGAGGTAGAAGGAAATAGGAAAAAGGTCTCAGAGAGAGAGCAAGAGAGCAGAAGGTTATCAGGTACAGAACTAGATGATCTTTAAGGCCCTTCCTAAGCCAAAGCATTCCATGATTCTAGATGATGTGTGGATGTGTATATTAACTTGATATTACTATTAATATTATTATCATTATAACTATTTTATTAGTTATGAGTTTAGCTCAGCCAGCTGAGCCTGGCTGCAGCTTTGGGCTGGAAGCAGGGGACGAGATCGGGACCAATTCCCTTTCTCCTGGAGCTGCTGCACGTTCTTCTGCAGCCATGCTTTGCTCCAGGTCCCTCTGGACAGAATTTGAAAAAGCATTGCTCATAGAATGAAACAGATCTTTGATGTATATTTTTACCTGGATGGCTCCTGGATGGAGAAGAGCAGTGGCAGAGCAGAGAACTGGTTTCCAAAATATGCACTGTATTTAGATTCCAAGAGTAAGCAGTGTGCAAATGCATGCATGTGAAGGCAAATCACAGCCAGTTAAGTCTTCACAATAGGTGAAAAAAATAGCATAATATCTGAAATATTGAACTCTCAGTAATTAATATCTTTGCCAATGAACACAACCTGACATCTAGATTATTTTGTCTGGGTATTAATTAAAGCAACATTCAATTTATGTTGATCCCTTTGAAGGCTACAAAACATCCTGCTAGCTTTCACAGCATATTCATTTTCATAAATAAAAAATCAAGTCTAGTTTTCCTGAATGAGGTTTGTATCTTCACCATATTTACTCTGGAAGCATGCCAAACTCTTTGTAATAGTAAACACAACTGTTTACTTTTGCCAAAATTAAAGTAGATACAAACTTTTGTATTACCAGGGGAAAATAGTTTTATTTGGAACTATGAAGAGTCTGTTATAGCATACACTGAAATTAATGGAAATATTTCTCATCATTCAAGTTTTAAAGCAGCAATGTCCTATTTTAACAGATACTTTCTCAATACCGAATACAGATGCACAGCTTTCTGCAACAGCAGATCTCACAGGAACACTGTCAAAAGCAAATCACAGGCATCCTGCAAGCTTTCACACTTTCATGCTCAGTCTGAAAGGCTGCCAAAGTAATGATGATATGCTTCAGGCCAAACCTAGTGAGTTTATAATTATTCACTTAAAAGGGTAAGTGATTTGTGCAGGGTAAATGTTACAAAGACAGTTGTACTTTTGTACTTTGTGATCAAAAGACAGTCTACCAGTAAAACATGCATGGGAAGCAAAGCAAACACAACCTGAACTTCAGCACTACAAACTGCTATGCTACACAGTTACTTTTTAACAAGAAAACCATGAAAAGGGGAAAAAATATTTCAGTTGTAACACCCTTGCAATTCCAAATAATCTTTCTTTTTAGAAAAATTTAAATGGTTTAAACAGCACTTACACAGTTGCATAGTCACAGACCACTGCTGAGCCACAGAGCATGGCTCACTGTGAGACTTTCACAGTTTTTAGGAAAGTAAATGCAGCCAAATTAATTGTACTTCTCTCAGGTATAGAAGGTAGAAGAGGGAAAAGATAACCTCGAGTCCCTGTCATGCATGTAACAGCCTAGCCCTGGGCACCAAGGGTTGTTGCCACTGCTTCAGCTGGGTAGACCTGGTCCTTACACAGGCATCTCCAGCCAGGACTGTCAGTGTCAAACCCCTGCATTTGACACAAGCATGGCAGACATGGATTTCATTCCTACCTGGTAAAAATAAATCTGCTCGCATTACAGCTCTGGCTTCTTCAGAGAAACATCGTTTTTTCAACCACTCAGCTTCATATTCACTTGTGTGTTCGTCAGGCCATGTAATAGAGATCTTTCAACACAAAGGAAAAGGTGAGTTTAGAAAAGAAAATTTGGAAAATATCATCTAGAAAAATAAAACCCCTTAGAAAATGCAGAAATTGTAATACTTAGATCAATAATATCACAGTTAAACTTTACCCGAAGCATGATAGCAAACAAGTAACAAAAACCTGAACACCATTCAAATTCTGACACTTTTTATAAATGCTCATTTTCATTTCAACCCATGACCTAACTTACTGGTTTGTGTGGACTGTTTCCTCTGTGGGAGCTGCACTTAATAGAAAGAAGGGAATTGTAAAAACTGGTGCATATGACTGGGGAGAGCACTTCACCCCAGTTCAGAAGAGTGAAAACATCTTGCAAAACACTGACAGGTCATGAGAAAAAAAAAACCAAACAAGACAGACAAGGACTTTGTGCTAGGAGAGAAATCTGTCCCCTACTTTTGAAGACTTCCCTCTACCAAATTAATTTTTAAGAAGTGTTAGGTTTTTCAGTTCCTGAAAAAAACATGGAAAGAAAGCATATGGCTTTGCTTGTCATGAACTGAAAGAGCCCAGTCCAGCACAGACACTCAGCTGGATTTTTAAGGCAGATGAGTAGGTATCAATTCCCAATTCACATGACTCTGCTCATTCACATGATGGCAAAACACTATCACTATCATTTTAGCATTAGTGCTGTGCTTTCAACAGTTTCTGAATATAAGTGGAAGCAGACAATTCTTAATTTGCCTAATCAAATAATATATTTACATTGCATTAATTTTGTCTACAATCAACTTAGGAGCCCAGAATTCCTCACCAGAGATCCTTATCCTGTGGCTGAGACATTAACACATGAATCAGCCTCTACAAACTGCCCCTGCAGCAAGGCTGCCCCATCTGACCCAGGGTGGATTGATGCATATTTGTTTAAAACATCTTTAAGTATACAATGAAGGAAATTAGTTTGCCAAAGAAGCCATGTACTGCTTTTAATAAAACATTAAAAAATCTAAGTAATATATTAAGTTTTAATGTATCAGGAAAGATTGAAATTCCTAAAGAGGGCAGCTCCTATCCTCTCTTGCTCAATAACCTTCTGTTTTCCAGGAAGAAATGTTAATGCAGATAAGAAGACAGGGATACAGACATTAGTCCAATTCTGATTATTGGATTCAAGTTTGGTTTGAGAGTTCACTCTAAGATGAAGATTATTTTACATTGCAAATTTGCTAATAAAGCAGGTATTTTTGTTATGGATTAAGGTCACAATTGTTTTACAATTTGTTTTTCAGATTTTCAAGCCATTTACTTAAAGACTAAAGAGAAGAAAAAGTGTAATTAAATTTGCAAGAAATGTCTGTATTTTCAACAACTAGTGATGAAGAAGCATATGGTAGAATTTTAAAATGCTTTGTTATATTATAAAAACTGAAGCCTGGGTTTATGCAGCCTCTGCATAACATCTATAAAGTGAAGTTTTGTATGAAGGTGGAAAGATCTGAGCTCCCCAGACTGGGATTCTTCCTAAAAGCTTTGCAAACACCTGGTAAGGCTTGCAAATAAGCAAACTGTGATTAGAATATAACTTGGAATTGTCTCGAATTTAGACTAATAAGCATTGTTAGACACGTTTCATGAGAAGGTGAATGATGGTTTGCATGAAATACCTTCCTTGGAGCTGCCAGAGCAACCTTCTTCAGCACGATGTTGACATCCAGGTCCTCGAAGAGCAGCCTGCGTGCTCCGGCGGAGGGCAGGAAGCACTGGGGACACTGGCAGTTGTCCCTCAGCCAGACGCAGGGGTAGCTGCTCTCACTTCCATCCTCCCACTTCACGCACACCAAATGGCCCTCGTCCAAAGCTTCCACCTTCAGGATCCCCAGGCCCATGCTGAGCTGCTGGGTGGTGTGGAGCACTGCAAGGCTGAATGCTCCCAGTGAGTGGCTCCCACCCAGGCAACACACCCGGCCTCCAGGGACCCCGGTCCTCAGCAGAGCGTGAGCCACGGACCTCCACCTTTTGGGCTCTATATTGAAATCGTCAGAGGGAATTCTGTCATGCAGCTCCTAAAATACCACAAAGAGCAGCTTATTACTGAAGAAGTCAGTACAGCAAAAGGTCAGAGTTACAGTGATTCCCCCTTCTCTTCCAATTAGCTAGACTTCAGGAATATTCATTAAATGTTGCTTACAGACAGTGTACTCAGACACATCTATTAAAAAATCCTTTCAATCTGATCCATCATCTTGGGAGTCTTTTCTTGCTACCTCCTCTGACCAGAGATTATGCAACCACCTTAAAACCTCCTCTCCTCTTGGTTGGACTAAGAGCTTGTGCAAACCTGGCCAGGGCAAATGAGTCTGTGAGCTCTGACCTCCCCCCCCCGAACCCAGAGTGGATTTTCAGGACAGATGCTGGAAGTGCTTTCTTGTGGATCCTTTCTTCTTCCTCATCCTTGTTTACTTCACCCTAGACCTGAGGTAACTGGTGCCAGCTGGTAAACCAGTGTCACTGGTATTTTATCTCCTTGTTCCTTCAGGTGGCTTAACTCAGTCCAAAGTTCCAATCAGGAGGAATATTCAGGAAGGGGTGGGCTTTGGTGGTCACAATTTCTTTATACAGTTTGGACATAAAGGGCAAGAAATCATTCATAACTATGTTTAAGCCCTTAGCCATAACACTTCAGTCTCTCACAAAAAGACACCTCAAAATTAATTCCACAAACCAAAAGCCTGAGCTACTGTTAAACATGTTCAAAACCTAAAGCAAGAAAAGTACACACATCATAATCTCTGCTGTGGATACTACGGAATAGAAAACACAGAATCCACCTCCCTGCAAGGAAAAGCTTTTTAAACATGACTGTAGCAACAGCAAGAGAGTTCCGTGAGAGTTCATCTCTCCTCTCACAGCCAGACCACTTTCTAGAGATACAGTTTTTTATTTAGAGCCAGCTGCATAGTTTACTGCAGAATGATGGTGTATCCAGATCCTAGAGTTAGAAAAGTTCTGGTCTAATGTTTTTCTTATTCAGAAAAATTCAGGGGAGGCTCCCTGAATAAATAAGTCATTACATATATATTTTAATAGACTTTATCAATGTCAAACATTGATTTTTTTTTTTTTTTCTTAAGATCACAGGGCAAAATATTGATGTTACCAGGACCAAAGTCTTGCCAGTTGTCTTTGTGCACAAAAAAAAAAAATGTCCTGGGCTTCAGTATTTTGACTCACAAAGGCCTACTGGAGTTATCGGATGGTTTTTCAGTATTTTTCCTTTGCTGCAGTTTAGAACTAGGCTACACAGGACTCTTGGGTCTCCATTTGTTTTTATTTCATCTGATTGAGTACAGAAAAGCAGAATACTGGGTTTTTCTCTTTCTTGGATAGTTTATGGATGGTAGTCCCACTGGACCAGTAAATACTAATCCTCACTCGCAATGCAGTACAGCTAGTTTTGTGCATACAGACTTAAACCTCTTTTATCCAAAACTGTGTTTATATCCAGACTGAAAATATTTTCTTTTATACAAATGTGTACATAAATATACCTATGTCAATATACATATATTTGTATTTCCACCATACTGCAATTTTCCCTTGAACTGTAAAAATATTTATATTGCAAGACTGGCTGCAGTGTCCTTCTGAGATTTCCTGGACAAAGTTTGATTATGTATGGCTGAAAAGCTGTGTTATGCCTTAGGGTTTAATAAAAAAAAAGAAAAGACCATTTCAACCATAAACTTTTGCTACATCTGTACTCGTTTCAGGATAGTTCTCTTTTCAAAGTTAGCAGTTCACCTTGCCTGACACCTGGACGATGCTGAATTGTCCAGCACAAAGCATGGTACTCACATCCACATGAATTTAAGCACCTGAGCAACAGAAATGGTCAGATCAAATTATTCCACTTATCTTTCCATGTATAAGGAATTCTAGAACAAAGCACTCTTCCCAGAACCAACCACCCAGTTCCTTTGGGGATAGGGATGCTTTTCTCTGTACACTAAATATAGTAGGAACTCCTGCAGGTATCTGCTTAAGACCATGAGAACCAGAATTTGCTTTAGAAGTTTAAAGCCATCAGTAAGCTTCTCCAGCTTACTAAATGGGGGAAGCAGGAGAAATCCAAAGGTCTGGGGTCTATTAAACACCTATGTATTTAATTTCAAAGTTTCTCCATAAAGTATTTCATACATTCATTTATCCAGTCGTCCACATGCTGGTTCTGCACACAAATTTCTTGTCTTATGTAAGTGGATTTCCAAATAACTTCAGTATTATCCACATGCTTAGTGTTTAACCTAAGCAAAGGCTCTTCTTTAACTTTAGCATGGTGGTTATAACTACCTGGATTTTGTATATGGACATTCTATAAATATTTTTCTTCAAAATGTCAAAACAAGGGACTGGAAAATATATTAAGCCTTTACTTTCTGAATGTCTCAAAGGGAAGATTCATCCTATATCTGAAGCCCTGTGTGAAGCTTGCTTGATTTAAAGGGCTTCTAGACATCTCCTATTTTTTCATCCTATTAAGAAATCTAAACTTGCTTCTAAGAGGCTCCAAATACATTACTAGTAATAGAAAACCACGTTTTTTACGGCAAGAAACTGAGGTGAGTTTATTGTCTTTCCATCACAAATGTCACCTAACTGGTATTTGTTCATCTGGTAATAGGTAACTTGGTCACACAAAATGCATGTCAAGCTGTGAAAAGCCAATTTCATTTTGATTTCTCTCAACACTGATTGTCAGAGGCATGTGGAGGAGGGGGAGCACATGTGCTACTTGCAGGAGGCAATTAAGAGAAGATGGAAGAAAACTTCATCTTTGAGGAGACTTTGCATGGCAACCATTTCCTGGCTCACATGGGACAGGCCATCAGCAGGGCAACACCAACAGCACTGCACCCTCCAGAGCAATCAGATGGCAAAAGGTCTCCACCAATGGACTGCTGTGGAATGTTGCACTTGGCTAATACATGACCCCCAAACTCTTGGTCCTGTCAGCATGTGGACTTTGGAAGGAGCCAGGGGGCATAGAAGTAACTGCATCAGAAGCTCTACACTTTGGTTTGGTTTTTTTTTGGCTTTTTGAGTCTTAGCTTTTTGGGGCTTTTTTGAGTTGCGGCTTTTTGAGTCTTGTGTTTTTGCTTTGGCTCCAGCCTTTTGAGGTCTGCTTCTTGCCTGGCCCTAGACTGTTTTTTGTCCCTTTTGCCCCAGTTCCAGCCTGCCTTTTGGCTCTACTGCCCTTGCTGGCCCTCATGTATGCACTTTTCCTCTCGCTGGGAGCTTGGCAGGACACTGGCTGACCTGTGAGCCTCGTGTGTAGCCTGTGTCCTGCCCTACCTCTTTGCCCATCCCAGCACCTGCCTGTTCTGCCTCCCTGTGTCCTTGACAGATGCCCTGCCTGCTTTGTCCCTGCATTCCTGCCTGAGCCGCCTGTGTCCAACCCTGCCTGCCTCCTGATGCCTATATAACTTAAGTCAAAGTTATAAGGTGCCTATATAGCTTGAGTTATAAAATATCAATATTACCTGATATAAATATAATCTGAATCATAGCTTTTTATCCTATATAACCTGAATCATAACTTTTATACCTATATAACTTGATATAAGTACCCTTCTATACAATGTAATGGCTAGTATATGGTTAACTAGTTGCTTAATGCTGAATAGAAAAAAAAGAAGAAAAAAAACTCACCAGGTGGACAGCTTTAGAGATAGGTAAGTATAGTACTAATGAAAAATTGGCAAATGTAAAGCAAATTACCCACAAAACAAAGAATTTAGACCAGTTAGGACCAGACAGATCAAGGAACACTGTAACTGTGCATGCTCTGAACACAAAGTTGAAAAGTTCAGATGTGAACAAGACCTTGGAAGCCTTCACCAAAGACCCCTGAAGACCCCTGAATTGGGGAGGGACAAGTGCAGTGCAAAAGAACTATCTAAAAACCATGAGATCATACAATGTAAATTAGTTCCTGCACATATATGACAATGTTATAGCGACACAGTAACACTAAGCAATACTTACTGTATAAATATACCAGAGCACTTGACAAAGGTGGGTGAGTTAGGTGGAGATATCCTCCTCACCACCAGCACTGCAATAAACAAATAACTGCCCTACAGACATCGGTCTGTGGGGATTTATTTCCAGCCTATCTTTTGGGCATCACTCCAGCCCATTGCTGTGATCCTCGCTGCCATCCTGTCTGGGGTCCTGCCCCTCCTGTCCCATTCCCACTCACCTGGTGTCCGGTTGCTGTGGGAGCTGTGCCTGTGGAGCCTCTCCGAGAGCTGTGTCCCTGACCATAGTGCACACACACACACAACACACACAG